GGACAGCGTGTGACTGCCACGTGTGATGGCACCGCCCACGGTGCAAAGGGCGGCTCGGCCCTGCTGCCCAGGTGGCCCAGACTTTGCCGCAGGGCAGTGACTCTGCTGCCTGCACAACGGGACACGCCACGTCACCTTCACCGGCCGGCCCTGCTGCTCAGAGGGGACCTTGTGCCATGGAGTCATCCCTCAGCCCTCCTGGGAGCTCTCCTGGCAGGGTTAGGCAATAGCTGAGGTCAAAAAGTCCTTTGTGAGCATTGAAATGCCCACTCAAGATTCCATGCCACAAGACCTCCCTCACCTCACAGTTGGGTGTCCCCAAGTGCCACTGGCCTTTGGAGAGGCTGTAGGATTGAAGTGCTTTGAGCCCCTCTGCTGAAATGCAGGGATAAGGAGCTGGGTGCCATGGCACTACAGACTCTGCCCATGCTGAGGCTTGGCTCTGCCCTGCCTTTTGCAAAGGGACCCCACTGCAGATTTGTTCAGTGTCTGTTGGCTCTGAAGGTTGGAATACACTGCTAAAGTTGTTTGGAAGGAAGGCTGGAAAAGGTGACAGCCTGGGACTGAAATAGCTGGGATTGATCCGGACCTCCACGGAGATATTTGAATATCAAAGTATGGCAGGCACTGCTCCCCCACCACTGGCTCAGGGCTGCCTCCAGGTGTGTCTGATTCCCCTCAGGACGGGACCATCACTTGTGCTGCAGAAATAGGCTTCAAAATAACTGAACAGCACACTCTGCTAAGGGTCTGAGCTGGCCTGAGGCTGCATGGGTGAGGGTGGATCCTGCAGCTCTCCCTGTCCCTCAGACAGGGCTGTTCCCCTGCGTGTCACCCCACGGGAATGACACTGCACAGCTATGGATCCTTGGGCCCCGTTTCTCTGCTAAACCATCCCCCAGCCTTCCCCTTTGACCCCGAAGCCAAGCCCTCCCTCCACAGGAATGTTTTTCAGGGAGGGGGGAGGCTGGCCCAGCTCCAGCTGCTGCATTTTTCCATGTCCAGAGACCGTCTCCTGCCTTAAAAGGCCCCATGACACAGGCTGGGCCTGCTCTCCTGCAATCACCTACTTAAGGATTGTTTGGATTCCATCCCCAGAAGAGACTGGGATGACACCAGCCCATGCCTTGCAGCTGGGCTGAGCCCCATGGGGGGATGCTGGGGCAGACAGGGCTGCTTGCCCTGAGAGCCCTGCAGGGCCTGCTCCAGCTCTCCCTTCCCTGTGTGCAGGTCAGATTTCCTGAGCTGACATGAGGAAGTACCAAGGCTGCTGGAGAAACTCTGCTCAGAGCTGGGCAGAGCAGTCCAGAAAATTGGGATTGGGTGGGAGAAGCCCATAATGGACTGGCATCTGCCAGAGCAAGGTTTGGGATTTGCTGAGCCTGTTGCAGAGGGAGAAAGATGGGAAGGCTGAGGATCTGGGGCAGGAGAGGTGTGATGTGGAAAGACACACGTCTGCAGGGATGTGACCTCTGGAACACACAGCACGTGGGGGGGCTGTGAAATTGAGCTCCCTCGCTCCTGGCATTCCCTGACGGTCAGCATGGATCCCTGCAGCCCTGTGGCAAAACAGCCTCCCCACCACCCACTCTGGGCTCTGGGAAAAAGGACAAGCCAGCCCAGCCCAGGGCCTGGCCTGCTCCAGGGCAGTGGGTCAGCAGGGCTTGTTTTGTAGGGGAACTCTATCAGGGTCAAGCAAAGATGTTTTTGCTTTTTAATCTGCTTTAAAAAAAGAAAACCCCTAAGAAACTACAGCCAAAAATGACATCAGCAACGTGCTCTTCCACTTGCAGAGTGCTCCAGGTGGGATGAGTCCAAACTTCAGCTGCTCAGGTAAGCTCAGTATGTGGCACATCTCTAACACAGACATACAGGGAGGAAACCAGACCTTCGGGATAAAATAATAAAACCTGCCTGTGGGACCTGAGTGGGGGTTGTCATGGAAGCTGGAAGGTGAAAACTTAGATTTGGGAAGAAGGAGGGTCTTAGGGTCCATGCAGTTGTCTCCAAGACCTGGCAGAGCAGGACTGGGGCTCCATAGCAAAGCTTTGCCAAGTGGTTTCTCACTCTGTTCCCTTTTGTTTAGCCCTAAATGTGTAATGTAGGAATGGGATAGGAACTGCTGACCCAGCTCTTCCACAGTTGGTGGAAAGGCATCAAGAGCTGCAGGTGACAAAACACTGAAAAGCCCAACTCCCCAGAGGGTAAAAGCAATGTCCCCCCCAGGGGTGGTGGCTGGAGCCACAGGGCAGCTCCCCAGCACCAACTCTGCCCTGCCCTGAGCCTCCTTCAGCAGCCACTGCCCTCCCCTTGCAGCTCTGGGACACAGAGTTCCTAACAAGATTTTTTTAGTGTCTGCCATGGAGATATTTTTGTTCTATAAATGGGGAGGGGGATATTGGATGAAACCATGTATGCAAACACTGTTGGTTTTTCTAGGAAGTGTAGCTGGGGAAAAATTTGGTGTGCACAGGTCAAAAAGAGGTTGCAGCTCCATTTCAGCCTGGTGTGCTATGAGAGGATCCTCCTCTGTGCCCACCTTCCCATTTGCCTAGTGAAGAAGTAAAGAAGCTTTTGTTCAAGCACAGCATGGCCTCAGTCTGGAAACACAGGATTTCCCAGGAGATATTCACACCAGCAGCCCTCCCTGCCCTTTTCCTTTGAACATCTACCTGGAGCTCCAAGCAGGAGTGCTTGGTAGGAGCAGTGATGTGGGGGCTGAGGAGTGTTTAACATACAGTGCTTCTCCCTGCAACACCAGCTCATCCTGCCCCAAACCACAGGGAGGGGGTGCCTGTTCCCCTGCAGCATGAGAGTCCCTGAGGAGTGGCACTCCTGCTGCCAGCCACCTCCCTACCCCTCTCCCTATTTTTAAATACCCAGAGTTCTGGGAGGCTGCACCAAGGAAGGGTCATCTGGTCCTGCCCATCTCATTTTTCAGAAAAGAATTTTCATCTCTTTTTCATAAAAGAAGATTTTTCTGCTCCTCCTGCTCAGATATAAGTAGGATAAATGCATCTGGTATCATATGTGGTATCTGGCAGGTTGGGGATGGAGCCAGGTGGGAATTTGGTTTATTTCAGTAGTGGGCAGAAAGGGGAAGTGGCTGAGCCTGTGACTGAGCCTGTGGTGTTCTCTGTGTGTGCCTGGTCAGCCCTTTGGGCCCCTCATCCCCACTGGGATCCAGCAGAGGTGCTCCTGTGTGGGCTGTGCCACCCTCCCCTGTTCCTGGCACTGCTGCCCAGGGCTCCGAGCATCCTCCAGCCCCGGGGATGTGTGGGGGGTGGGTCTCAGGGTTGGGTTTGTGCTGAGGAAGCCATGGATGCATGGATGCACTGACCTGCTGCACCAGGCGCCTGTGACATCCCCCATTGTGGCCTTGCTTTGCACAGGGCCATGGAGGAAACCAGCCCTGGGCTGCCCCAGGTGCTTTCCCAGCCCTTCCTCTCACCCCGGGGAGAGGGTGAGGAGGGAAGGGGAAGCTTCAGCCCACACTGTCCTCCCAGAAATAAAGCTAAAAAAAGGTTTACACTTTCATAGTGAAGTTTTGCCGTTTCTCAGTTTCTGCAGTGAAATTTGATTTTTCTTTTCCCAGGGGAGTTGAGACAGCAGCTGTTAGGAAGCACCAGGGGCATCACAGCACCCACCCCACTGCAAGCCCCCACTCCCACACATTTCCATCACGACAGCAAGAATGAATTTGGATTCTCTGTGTCTCAGCTGTCAGCAGCCTTTGGACTTTCCCCATTCTATCAGCCCCATCACATGGAAGAGAAGCTCCCCAGTGACTGACCACGTTTGTCTTCTCCAGCAGCAGGGCTCTGCACTGCTGTCACAGCACTGCCAAGGTGCTGCTGAAGTTGTGCCTGGAACACTTGCCAGCCAGGCTAGGATAAGGTGGATCCCTTCCCCTGGAAGCTGTTTTCCATCTGTTCCCAAGCACTGGCTGTAGGAAGGAGTCTTTGCTGCCATGCAGAGGCTCTGTGGTTCTGCAAGAGGGCCAGGAGATGCTGCAGCTTCCTGCTGCACCCTGCCTGGGCATCCCCACTGGAGCAATCATTTTATCTCCTCTTTCTAGGCAAAGTTAAAATTCAGCCACTTGAAATGAGAAACAGAAATACAAATGTTTTCAGAAGTGACAGTCCCACCTCAATTCGTCTTCTTCATCTTACATAAAGTTTTGACTTGCAGGTTTTGAGGCACTGAAGAGGGGGCTCAGAGCCAGGTGGAGCAGAGCTGGACCTGGCTGTGCCCTGTGAGAGCTGCCCAAGGGGCTGTCACAGGTGCTCCTGGCTCCATCCTGCTTTTGGGAGCCACTGTGGCACTGTGCCACCTGTGCTGGAATTCAGGGCTCTTTCGGGCAGGGCTGTGGCTGCTGGCTGCAGATCTGAGCAGTGGCTCTCCTGCACCAGGTCACGCAGCCCCAGCCGGGTGTCACCGTGTCCCTGCGCGGCGCCAGCCCACGGTAATTAACCCTAACCACGTTAATTAACCCGCACAGAGTGACCCTGCCTGTGGAAACGTGCCGTTGGATCAGCCGGGAATGTGCCCGCGGGAGGGACTCTCTTGGGGATTTAAAGGAGTGTGGGGGTGGGAATCAGAGCCCGTGCAGGGGGATGTCCCCATTAGGGACCACAGCCCATGTGTCACAGGCAGTTTGCTGAGTGATGAAAGAGCCATTACCTGCTCAGCTGGAGGTGGAGTTGCTCCTGTTTGTTTTTCCAAGGAAAACGATTCCAACCTTTATTTTTTTTTGCACAGCTTTCCTTTCGCTGCGAATCGCAGAAGGTACAAAAGAAGTTCAGGGTTTTTTTTACAAGTGTTGTGCTGGTTTGCTGGATTCTCTCCTGCAAGTGGTTAACGGTTCATCTCAAGTCAGAGGAAAGTCTCTGAAGCAATCTTGCAATTTACAGCTTTTTCTTTACCAAGTAAGAAACAGCCAGGAAATTAAACAGGAAATTGTGTCTGGAAGGAACAAAAGTTGTGTTGTCAGAACCTGCTTATGAAAGATTTACTTTATTTTAACCAGTAAGGAGCCAAGATCAATATCCAGAAGAGGAAGGAGTTTGTGTGAATTAAATCACACGTGAAAGGAAAAAAAAAAAAAAAAAAAAAGGCAACACTTGGGAAAACAAGCAGCCTTTGTAAAGAGCAGATAGGGATGAATGGGAGAGAAAGCTTTGCCACTGCAGCAAACAAATGCTGCAAAGTGCTGAAAGACAAAGGCCCAGGGTGTACCCCAAGATCAGGTGTCTCTCCAGAAGTCAGTCCTAAAAAGCCCAAATCTCTGGGGGACACTCTACAGCCAGGCCTGTTGGAGTGAACGGACAAGCATTGCCCCATCACTGTGCAGGTAAAACAGCAGCACCTTCTCTTTCCTGCTGCTTACAAGGTGTCCCTTGGGTGGTTTCCTCCAGCTTTTCCAACCCAGGTTTTATTCCTGGTCAGCAGAGTGATGTTCCCTGCCCAGAGGATGCAGGCTGAGCTCAAATTCAGGATTTACAGGAACTGCAGCAGCTCACTTCGTCCTGGGGTTTTCCATGAGAAAAGCCAAGAGCAAGCGAAAAAACCCCTGCTACAAATGTGCAGCACTTTTTGAGAGTCCCACACAAATATTTGCTCCCTGGTAACCCCATAGGCCACTGGGTTTTGGGTTAATTAGGGGCTCTAGTTGGGAGATTGGGTAATCTGTCATTTTTTGACTCTCATATTGCTCATCAGTGGTTTAGAAACAAGCTCAGCAAGCACTGGTATGTGGGTATGGCAGAGGTGGGGACATCAAGACCCTGTCTGGCTGATCCAGGCTCTTTTGGGGAATGCTCATACCTGGTGGGCACAGACTCAAAGGGGCTTTTTCTCCATGATCCCAGCACTGAAATGATGTGTCCTCTGTGACAGCTCTTGGGCTGTGGTTGGTCCAGGCTGTGCTTGCTCCCCACTGGTAACGGGATCACAGTGTGTGGGAGCTGTGCCAGGACAGAGCAGCCCCATGGCTGAGCCAGTGTGGCTTCAGAGCCTTCTCCAGTCAAATTCCTGCCCTGGGAGCACAACAGAGGCTGAACACGGAACCAGGCCCAGCCATACCCCATGGCAGGCTGAGGCCAAGAGCTCTGGCTGGCAGTACTCAGCAATGGGCTAATGAATGTTTACCAGCTCTTCCAGCAGCCACATCAGCAGCTGTTGGAATTTCCAGTGCTTCACTCAGGGATGCTCTGGTCCTGGCCATCCCAGCAGGTACTTTGTAGCCAAGGCTGTGTTGTTGTGCAAACACCCCGAGGCACCCCCGGCCCCAGGACCTGTGCTCTGCTTCCACCCCTCTGGGAATTCCAGAAGGGCACAGAGACCCAGGTGTTAACAAAGGCACAAAAGTGAAAAAAATCAGGAAAGAGCAGACACAAATATTTTCCCGAGGTTTCCACTGCTGGCTGACTCCAGTCATTCAGCTCTGTAAGAGCCGGGTCATGAGGCTGGAGCTGCTCTGGGAAAAACAGCAGCTGTGACCTGCTGCTACTGGGATTGCCGTGATTCACACCCTCAGCAGGCTGAGCTGTCCTTCCTCGTCCAGAGTCCTGACATGTGCACGTTTCCAGCGTGGCATCCTCCTGACTCACGCCCTGCCCCTTGCAGGGCTCCCTGTGCCGCTGCTCCCTGGGCCGGGCCTTGCTGCTCCCCCCGCACTCCCCCGACCCTGAGGGTGTTTTTGGCAGGAGTGAGCCACAAAGAAGGTTTTGCTGCCTCAGTGTGAAGACCAACGTTGCAGATGGGCACGTTTGGGCCCGGTTATCCACAAAAAGGCCTCGTGTTTTGGTAACGACTGGTGTGTTCTACAGGTCTAGTCCTCTCTTCTGTCGCAGATGCTAGCTGGCCTGTATTCCGAGGGTCTCCCAGGAGCAGTCCTGCTCGGTGCCCGCTCCCACGATGGATATAAATGTGCGCTGACACACCTGGAGCACACGGCGTGAAGCCGAGCGCCGCTACCCCTCACGGACCCCTCAGGGCGCCCGCAAAATGGCGGCCGGAGACCCGCGCTTCAGCCCCGTGCGGCCCGGAACTACAACTCCCGGCAGCCCCCGCGCGGCTTTCCCTCTGCGGGCCTCAGCGCTCGGCAGCCTGCAGAGTAGCCTGATCAAAATAATAAAAAAATAATTAACAGATGTCACGTGGGAGCGCCGGTGCTTGAAATGTCCCTGGAAACAGAGGCAGCGGCGCTCGTCAGGCGCCTCGCGGCCGGTGGTTTGGCCGCCAGCCGTCGTTTATCACTATGGCGATTTCCCTTTAACGGCTTGTTTGCCGCAGCCACCTCACAGAGCGGGGCCCTTGTAGGGGCGGGGAGAGACGCGCCCGCTGACCAATCGGCGTGGCCGGAAGGCGGGGCCATCCAGCTGAGCGCTCCGGCCATTGGCTGGCGGCGCGGAGCGGGTGACGCGCATCCTTCCAGCTCAGCGCGTGAGGCGGTGAAAGGGGCGGGGCGCGGGGCCCGGCCCGGCGGGCAGTAACGGCCGCGCGCGCGCGGGGAGGGGCCGTGCGCACAACGGCCGATCCCCCTCAGCGCCTCCCGCCGCGCGTCCCGGCGCCGCCGCCGCCTCTGCCGCCGCCGCTGCCCTGCCCGGTGGAGGATGCGCCGCCTCGCCCCGGCCGCGCCAGCCAGACGGGGGAGACGATGAGGGAGCCGCCCCGCCGGCCGCTGGCGCTGGGCTCCTGCCTCCTGCTCTGCGTCCTGCTCTGGTGAGTGCCGGCCTCTGAGCCCCGCCGTCCCGGGCAGCCCGGGCCGCGCTGGGCAGTCACAGAATCGGTGGGCTTGGAAGGGAGCTGTGGGGATGAGCCGGTCCAGCCCAGGCAGGGTCACCTGGGGCAGGTGACACAGGTGGGTTTTGAGCGCTCCCAGCGAGGGAAATCCCGCGGCCTGCCTGGGCAGGCTGGAAGGTAAAGGCGCTTCCTTTTGGGCATGGGTTCCCGTGCGGTGTCCCCCGGGAAAGGTGACAGCTTTCGGGAGCCGAATCCCACTGCCAGGAGTCAGGTGAGGGCTGAACCCACACACCGAGGCTCGAAGTTCCGTGTGTGTTATTGTCTCTCTGCTTTTACCGGAGGCATCCGTGCATTTCCAATTCCAGGCTGAGCTCTTACGCTATCCTCTGGAAAATGATGGTGCCTTATTCTTGAAACTCTTTTATCAGGTGTTAAGTTAAATCAAACGAACTCTCTTTTTTTCTTTGCATTGATTATGCCTTTGACAGTTTTTTTTATAGTGATTACCTCAATGCCGTACTTTGTTCCAGCATCTCCTGTTTACTTTCTATTCAAACTTCCTTTAAGAGATGACATTTACTAGAATACAAATATTAGTAGAATAGAGTTGTATTTCTGCATGATAAGTTCCAACCTTCTGAAACTTTGGCCCTCTTGGAACTGGGTGAGTCACTGTTTGAGAACTGATAGGCAGCTTGAACAGCAAACTGCAAATATTGCAAGTGGAACAGCCACAGTCAGGTGTATTACTACAGTACAGTTCCTGTAGATTGTTCAGATAGTCTGCTTAGAAAAAGAAATCACCCTGAAGTTCTGCCTTGTCTCACAGCTGGGTGAAGAGTGGCAGCACAGGTATCCCTATTTACACAATCAATTGCAAATCTGGTGCTGGCGTTTGTGTTTGGACAGTCCTGAAGCAGCTTTGGTTTCTGTCATCACATTTTTGGGGTTTGGAGACAAAAATGAATCTAGAAACTGCTTGAAAACTCGGTTGCTGTGTGTACATTTAGCAGAATTTAAAACAAAAAAAAAACCTCCTGGCCGTGGGGGTTTGATCAGGTGAGCTGTGAGCCTCATGAACTGTCTCCAGACAGCTTTGCTTTTAATCCTTGGACAGTGAAGTTTGTTCTGGCAACAGGTTTTAGTTGTATAGCTGGGATTCTTGGAGGAAAAGAGTTTTTGTTTCTTGGTTACAGTGCCTTGAGGGCTGATAATTTGTTCCTGCCTTCAGGTAATTTGTTAGTGGAAGGAGTTTTTAGCTTAATGATCAATAGGTAGTCAGGTTAATTTTTTTTTCTGCTGTGTTCTTAGTCTGCTGTTTCACCAGGACTTGATTTTGTGAAAAAATCCAGTTGTTGTTTTTTTTTTTTCTTTTCAGGATAATTGCATATTGACAGGGGACTATCATGTTCAGCTGTCATGTTGGAATAATGTATTTGTTCTGTAAATCCCTGACAGCTTCTGGGTTCTTCTTTGGTGTGGTTAGGAGGAAAATAGAGCTGCTCTTTTTCTTACTCTTCAAAAGGGATTGCTCTTTCAAGCAGTATCTTAACTGATCTCAGAGTTTGCATTGGAGTTCCCCAAAGCTTGTAGAGTTTAAAAAAGAAAGGTTCATGTTGTATGTTCACTCTGCTTGTGGTTAGGAGCCAGTGGATTAATTTAAGTGTTGAGGGATGCAACTCCAGTTTCCTAGTCTGCTGTCCAAATAGGAATTCACTTTAGAGAGTTTGAAATCCTGTCTGCAGGATGGCACTGGGACCTGGTTTAATTTCAGTAGTCATGTCAGAGTTGTAATTAGTATTGAAGTCTGTTGCTTCATACATTGTTGGTGGACTACAGAAGTTGGTAAGTTGTGATTTATTTAACTTTTCACTATGAAAAAAATCAGCACCTTTCTTTCTTTGAAACTGAGCTTAAAATAATAATTCTTAAAATCTCTCATCATGCATTTCCAAGCTCACCTTAGAAAGTTGGTTCACTGGGAAAGTACTGATTCATAAAAATTAAATGGGGGGGAAATAATTGATTTGAACTGGAACATGTCATCTTGTTCATTAAAAATGTGGCTGTGTTTTAGGAGATAGAAAAATGCAGAAGCTTGAGCAGGGCTTCGTTAGCCAGTGCCTTTTCAGTAAAGAGGATGTGATGCTCTTTGAGTCAGTTATCAGTACCTGAGGCTTTCTGAAGTTGGACCAAGCACAGCTCTGACAGACCCGAGCCAACAAGATTATTCCAAGTTTCAAAAGAGCAGGATGGCTTTAGGGAAATACTTCTGATGGAAGTATGGCTCAGGAATGTAGTGCTCCAAAAATAATGGGCATCTGTGCAGTTTGGGGTTCCACTGTGTGTGACAAATGACTGCTGTTGTCCTGAATTCAGAGATCTTAATGCTCCAGTTAATCCCTTTGTGTGATGATCAGAACATAAAAAAATACATTTAAAACTTGCAGTGCTTTGTGGTTTGCCAATATCCAGAGCTGAGTAAGTGGAGTAGGCTTAGAAGCTTGTAGGATACCAGGACTATCTGAAGTGAGACCAGCTGTGACAGCTGTTTGAAGAGTAACCTGTATAAATTATTCTGACATCAGCCTTTGCCTGCCATGAGCTGCACTTGCAGAGTGTTAATTGGGAGTTTAATAAAGAAATCATGCATCCAGTAATTTGTCTTTCTATCTCAGAAAGTTCATTGCCATATCCTGACCTACTTAGCTTTTATTAACTCTGCTGCTTGAGTTTACAGCTGTGAGTAAGTGGAGGATGGGGGTCAGTGCATGTACACTTCAGGATCCTTCATCTGTAATTCTGTGAGTATCCTGCATCAGGAAATGCCTCGTGGCAAAGTGATTTAGCAGCAAAATGTGCTGGTTTTGGTGGCAAAACCCCTGGCCTAGGAGCTCTGACCGAAATCCACCCTGAGAGTGTGCACTGAAAATGGTAAAGGTCACGTTGGGTCAGTGGCACAGGCAGGAGTGAAGCCTGGGTTACCAAGTACAGTGGGAAGGGATGCTGGTTTTTGTTCACACCTGTTAAGGTGTAGATTCACATGGATTTTAATGAGAGAAGGTATTTCTAGCTTTGGTTTGCATTTTCAGTCCTGTCTGGCTTTGAAGGTGTGCTCGTTGCAGGCTGTAACACACGAGGAGCTGTGAAAAGCCCAGAGCTGGAGCAGCACTGTGATACCACCGTGGTTCATTGTGTGCTGCTGCACAGGTGAGAGCTCTGCAAATCCCATTAGAGATCACACCAGTGGAGCACTTGCTGATGGAACATTTATTTGCCTCGTTATTGACTTGTGGCTCAGACCTAGATCTCTGTTAACAGCAGAAAGGTGTGAGAGGTTTGTGTTCTGCTGTGCCTCGTTAATGTGCCTCTTACCACTGAAATCCTCTTTTCAGCACAGTGCCCTCATGGTCTGGATAGGACTACCAGAGTAACTTGCCTATAGTGAGTCTCACAATTTTATCTGCTGATTTTCCTCTTTGTGCTTAAATCTCTTCAGAAGGCTGATACTAAAATAAACACTACGTGTACATTTTCTAGCAGGAAGAAATGAAATTATTTGAGCACTGATATAATCAGAGCTGTTGTTCCAGGCATCTGATTTCAGAATGGAAA